ATGAGAGTCTTTCCCATGCTGCCCTAAGGAGAGATCCGTGCTTAATCGATAGTTACACCGTCAGCCCTTAATGCTGGTGGAAATACAGCAGAGGTTTTACTCATTTTAAAATTGCACTTTCCAGTATCACCTTTAAAATAACATTTCATGTAGTATTTTAAAGCACTATGGTTTGTATCTTTAAATATTGACTATATTCTTCAAAGTAGTTCCCTAGCTGCTCAAGTGTGCTTTTTTAATATATAGCTGAAATATTATTGAAGATACTACAAAATAGAAATATCTGGAGTGCAGAAGTTAAGAAAATAACCTTCATACTGAAAATATATCCTTAAAAAACAAAAACTAAAACAAAAAACCAAAGCCTCTATACAAATGTAGTACAGCATACAAATTTTTTAAAAGGATGGTATTAAGGCACGGACCATTGCAAGTCTTATAGAAATGTATGAACACAGGCCTGTGAAGTGGAAAACAGTCTTTAAAAAACTAGGGGAAAACTTCATGGGATATAAAAGATTTCTGTGTGGTATTAGATAACATTCTTCACTTTCTGGTTTCCTGTGTGCGCTAATCCAACGTTTTCTTTCTTCATAAATAGTAAAGCGTTCCTTCGGCGGTGTCCCCTTTGCTTGTCTTTCTCCAGTCGCCAGTCTCAGTATGTCTGGTAGACGTCGTGGATGGGGACCTGGATGGCAGCCGCGGGGAAGGCCTGAGGTATGTAGCCCGCGGCGTAGCCTCCATACACCGCAGCCGCCGCGTTCTTCTGTAGTGTGGCGATCGTGGCCGTGGCCGGAGCAGCAAAGGGGACGTAGCCGGCCCCGTAGATGCTGGCAGTGGGAATTCTCTGCACGTTTGGAGCCACTGTGTACACTGGAGTTATTGGGCGGCCCTGAGGAGGGGAGACAAGGAGGATCCTTCCTGAGCACGTTCGTATACCATCACCCATTCATTGAACAAACATCTCTCTGCAGCACAGAACAAAGCCTTCTATTCTCAGGGCACCAACTCATTCAGACTCAACTATGCCACCTGGGAGAAGGTGACTAGGAAGTGGAGGCAAAATTGGGCTGCTCGGGCACCTCCCCCCATCATTCCACTCCCGCAGCCCATGCTCCAGAGCCATCAGAGAAGGGAGCGGGGCCTCTACCTTCACACAGTGACTCAGAGTACGAATTTGTCCTAAAACATGGCCCCAGACACATGTCAGCTGCCTGGACTCTTACTTAAACGATGGAACTATCTGTTTCCAAAATGAGACATGCTGCCAACTTAGTGGGACTGGTCTCAAAGGGACAGGTTCTTAAGCTGTGAGCTTAAAATTCTGTGACCACACACAATTCCCAGCCAATGTGATTGCTGGTCCCCACCATTTCCCACCTGTGATATGACACTACTATCTGTACAGCATGGCATAGAACATTAGAGAAGGAATCAGCTAACTCAGAGAAATCAGGGACACTGGAGCTGGGTTTTGAGGAATAAGGAGGAGTTTCCAAATGAGGAGAAAGTGGAAGTCAAGGTGAGGAAAACTTCCTAGATGTAGATGGCCACCATGGCCCTGTTCTGGTCCCTGCTGCGTCCCTCTGTCTGCCTGAGAGTGGAGCCCACTGTGTTTCCAGAACAAACAGGAGTCGGAGGCAAAGACTGAAGTTCAGTAGCTTCCTGAGTTTGCTGCAGCACTAGTTTCAGTGAGCCGCTTCACAGAAAGGGGAATTTTTGTAAAGTAAAACATATACTTAACAAGATATTTGGTATACCTGATATTCTGCAGAACACCCTGAACTAAATGCTGGTTTGGTCTCTTCATGCCTCATTATGTCTTCGAAATGCATACTTTATGATATATGAAATGGAAAATTAGATTTAAACATGCTAATCTTCCTGGATTCTTATAAAGGAATTAAAAGTTATTTCACTTGCTAAGTCTGCAAGTCAGACTTGCAAAATTATGTTCAAAGGAATTCTCACTTAATGTTTTTTCAACTGTGGTCACAACAATAACTATACTAATGCTAATCCTAACAGCAGTGACTGGGAGAGCCCCGTCTTCCAGGCCTGTTCTAAGTGCCTTGTTTTGGTGCCCGAAGCATCCTGGCTCATCACAAGCCCCGGTGAAGTTGGGGACTTGATACTCGGAGAGGTTTGGATGTGTTAAGGGACTTGTGAAAACTGAAGTGGGCGTTAAGCAACGTATGGCCCAACATCATCCTGGTTCTCACCAGGCTGTGAAATAGACAAGAGTCGCTGCTTACTCCATACAACCAGGGAGACAGGGTTGGGAACTGGAAGACTAGTTCACAGCAACACACAGGCATCCTTCCCTAAATGTGCGCCATGGGCTTAATAACAAATACACAAAGGCAGAGAAGGGATCGGTGGCCTCACTGCAGGCTGCTCACCCCAACACTGAGCCACGCACATCACTACTGATTTCAGTGCAGGCAGGTGAGGGACAGGCCAGGGCAGAAGAGCTGAGTTCTGGGTGTCCCAAACAACTGGTTTAATCTGGACTCATCCCCTAAGAGGTCAAAACACCTTAAGTAAAGGACACTTTTAATGCTGTGTTCTCAACATCTTGCCAGGGGCAAGCACCTACCTTTACTAATAGTTGAGTAAAAGCAGACCTGCCCTAAAATATGTACTGATAATTTGTAATAACTCCTAAAGGAAAACAAAGACCTCAAGAACCAATCAGGCCAAGATAAACACCTTAAAAAAAAAATCCTTCTGGAAGCCACCCTGGGGATCAGTTTCCAGGTGGCTCGGAAAGGCATTCTTGCCAATCAGTGGTGCTTAAAATGTTCCACCCTCTGCTGCAACTGGGCAGAGACCTCAGAATCAGAGAAGGCGGAGCATGTTAGAGCCCAGGCCAGGATGGGGTTTGCACGCTGGAGAGCACGGAGACCCTGAGGGTTAACAAGTCAGCAGCGCGGGCGCTCTGCAGAAAGCACTGGAGGAGGAATGGACTGCCACAGGAAGCAACTCACAATGGCTGCACTTAGCAAATTCATAAGCAAAGACTGTGATTAGAGGATCTGATGGCAACTTCCGGTGTAGGCGGGTATGAGACAGGGATGGTGTGGAAACGGGTGTGATTAAGAGGCCTGGAGTGTGGACCTGACCAGAACTGCAAGTACATGAGTTTCTCAGTAGAGGAGAATTAATAAATTATTACTGCATGTGGTTGGATGAAAGGAATGACTTCTCATGTTCTGTAGCACAGCAGGGTGACTACGGTTGATAACAATTAATTATAAATCTCTAAATAGCTGGTAGAGAGGATCCTGAATCTCCCCATCTGCTATGCACAAAGAAGCCTGAGACAGAGCCTTGGCCTGGGGAACTTCATCCTAAAATTGAACATACTGGCAGACAAAGCCTCGTCCAAGTAATAATGCAATAATGAGAAGCACAGGAGAGAGGACTTCTCTAGGATAGCTAGTGAGAGGCCCCTACATAACAAAATGTGATGAAAAAATCACACATAGGAGAACACACTACTGGCAAAGGCAGGAAGGAGGGCAAAACATAAGAATAGTTTGGGTAGAGAGGGGAATAGGCCGATGTGGCTGGAAGAGTAGAATAAAGGCAGATTTTGTAAAAATATCTACCTACACAGATACTGTCTTTTCATGTACATGTACACACAATAGATACTTTACGCACATACACATATACACACACATATATGGGATAAACGTTTTACAAAAATTTTCTTGAGCTACTGTTAAGAATATGAAAATATGGGGCCAGGGGTTTAGCTCACTGGTGCCGCTGCCTGCCTTGAAAGCACAGGGTCCAGAGTTTGATCCCTGGTACCAACCCTCCTCCCCGCCCAAAAAACAATATGAAAATATGAACTCTCTCCTTGAACACTGTGTATCAGCTCCTTCAAAACAGGAGCTGAATACCTGTTAGTGACCTTAAAATATAGTACATACAATACTGTGACAGTGTAAAATCACACATCACATTTGTATATTGCTTCTCTTCTTTAATACAATGATAATTTTAAAGTAGTACAATTCATACAGAAAGTTTCATTCGTTCCTGTCATGGTTCATATTCAAGTTTTTTTTAAGGGGTAGGGGTGTGGGTCAGTGGTAGAGCATTTGCCTAGCATGCATGAGGCTCTGGGTTCACTCCCCAGCCACACAAAACCAACTTTTTTTTCTTTTTTGAGGTACCAGGGATCAAACTCAGGACCTTGCACTTGCAAGACAGGCGCGCTGCCACTGAGCTACATCCCCAGCCCCAAAACAACTTTTTTATGAAAATATCACCCAGAGGCTCCATATACAGATTTTGGTGATGGCAGCAAGAACTCTACCTGGAAAGGCGGTGGCGTTGAGACGGCAGGAATGATGGCGGCGGCAGCTGCGGCGGCGGCAGCAGCGCTGGCTGGGTCTGGCTGCACAGCAATGGGGCTGATCATGTGCTCCATGGTGTGAATTTTACCATCTTCAATCATTTTAGG